GGAGATCAGTACGCTGGCGGTGGGTACCGGGGAGATCAGTACTCTCCACTAGCCTAACAACACAGGCTGGTAAATAAAGAATTCGCCAGGGGAGTTGGGCCACCATAGAGTTCTGAGCGTTCTGAGGCCTGCACAGTTTCCAACAGGGAATGTTGCTCCCCTTGCCGGTTTTCAACTCTATATTTGTGGACTCTATCCAGGCCTTATGAAGGCGTTATGGAGGCAAGGAGATCAGGACATCCAGGAGAAAGTTTTACCTTCAGCACATGTAACAATTTTCATGTTATCTACATCTAATTGTATCAGCACTGTCCCCACAGATGCATGTATCTGAACTTGCCCTGCATTTATGTGATGTCCCCTCTTTGTATGTCAGATTTGTGATGTTTTCTGACTATCTACAGGACCTGTAACTGCCAACACCCGTAAGAAGTGGGTCCGTCCACCACCACCCAGCCTCAACCCCAGGACAGATGCCATCAGCTTTCAGCAGATCGACCTGGACCATTATATAGGTGAGGGTCTGTTATGTCTTATATGAGGGCCTTGGGGCTGCTACATTGTCTTCTTATCTTTGATATATGGTCAGAAAAATAGGACTGTCAAATATGAACCACAAAAATGTATATTGATAACATTGCAAGGATATGTCTCCAGACATTTCTTGGTTGTGCATATTCAAGCACTATAGATCTTGTACCATTCTTCTGCTCTCTTTTATATAAGGTGAAAACTATTGTAACTTCATTTGAATATATTAGCAAATGACATTATAATGCAATAACCATACACAAATGAAATTGCTTGTTTTTTTGGTCATGGAAGTGTGATATCAACGGGTAACACTACATCTGAATGTTTCCATGTGCAGGTGAGCCCATGCATGGCATGCCAGGGTCCAGTGTCGGTCCCGTGCCCATTGTCCGTATGTTTGGTGTAACAATGGAAGGGAACAGTGTGGTGTGCCATGTGCATGGATTTTCACCATACTTCTATGTGCCTGCCAAACCAGACTTCAAGGTAAGAGTCATGGTTTCTTAGAAGTGAGTGTGATATTCCTGATAAAAGTATAGACAGTTCTTAGAAGTGAGTGTGATATTCCTGATAAAAGTATAGGCAGTTCTTAGAAGTGAGTGTGATATTCCTGATAAAAGTATAGACAGCTGTCCTTACAGATTCTGGAAAACCCAAAATACTTCCTGCAAGTCTGAAATTTCTGATGTGTTGTTAAGTATGAGAGTTCCTTGTCGTATGATTATTGCCTATCACCACCCAGGTTGAGGACTGTGGAAAGTTCCAAGATGCACTGAACAAGGCTGTCCTGAATGACATGAGATCCAACAAGGACCAAGTGAGGCAGGCAGTCCTGGCAGTAGAGATGATGGAGAAGGAGAGTGAGTATTGTAGCATTTAGTGGCAGGTCAAGTCTCTGTTTACCTTCGTATGTGGAGGTTTTGTTTCGGTGGCTCTGTGGCTCTCTCAACTGATGATATGGGGCAGTATATGCAGGGAACTTAGATTGAAGTTAATATTGATATTTAGTTGTCATTATGTCAACACCAATATCCATTCCTTACAGATATGTATGGTTTCCATGGCAACCAGAAGTTGTCATTCCTGCGCATCACCGTGGCGCTGCCACGTCTGATCGCCCCGGCCAAGAGACTCCTGGAGCAGGGCTTCTCCTTCCCGGGGTGCGGTCTCCATGGATACCAGTCCTTTGAAAGCAATGTTGACTTCGAAATCAGGTGAGTTTGGGAAGGCTGGGATTCTGGAGCACTTTGGCTGGTGTGTTTCTGAAGAAATGGATTCAGATGGGCTGAAAAACCTTAGCCAAGTAGAGATACAAATCCAGCTTTTACTACAGATCTTCAACCATCAAATAGACCAATGTTGACTTTTCATCACAAGGAGCTTTCATGAAACCTCCTTGATCACAATTAGCAGTTCCACCAATGATGACAAAGCAATTAGCTGTTTGACCAATGAGAGAGTGGCTGCATGTCTGTCAAATCTTCCCTCCAGGTTCATGGTTGACACTGAAGTGATAGGCTGTAACTGGATAGAACTTCCACCTGGCAAGTACCGAGTGCGAGACCCCAAGTCAAGCAGGAAGTCCCTGGCACAGATGGAGGTGGATGTGTCGTGGGAGGAGTTTGTGTCCCACCCTGCGGAGGGGGAGTGGCTAAAGATTGCTCCACTCCGCGTGCTCAGCTTTGATATTGAGTGTGCTGGAAGGAAAGGTTAGTGAAGCCCCTGTCACACAGAGATGACCATGGCCTGGCAACCTTCTCCAGAACATGGTTAGGAGTCAGGAAAGTCATCTGTGGTTGGGAGTTGGTTGGCAATGTTGCCTACTCGTCTGTCCCAGCCAACTGTGAATTTTGAAAAATCAAAGTCGGGTTGGGGAGTAGTCAGTCGTAAAGTTGTGGGAAGGTCTTGAATGTGTGACAGGCTTTAACAGTACAACCATATGTATACCTGGTTGTGGCACTACTAGTGCCAGAGTGCCAGAAAATTATTTTTAAAAAAAGAGAAAGAAAAGAACAAGAATTAGTAAACAATCATATTTTTTTGTTGCTTATGTAAAAGTTTTTCCCCACCTACAGGTGTTTTCCCTGAGCCAGAGAAGGATTCTGTGATCCAGATTGCCAACATGGTGGTGCGACAGGGCGAGCGAGAACCGTTCATACGCAACGTTTTCACCCTCAACACCTGCGCCCCTATTGTGGGGTCAAAGGTCAGTACAAAAATAAAAATCCTGTTAATTAACATCATATGTTTTCATAGTAAGGTCACACAGTTTCATATGTTGTATTTTCCTGAAATTTGCATGATTTTTTTAGTACTGTTACTACCGTAACATGTGCTTCAAGCAGTGCCAATGGTAGGTAATGCCAATGTGATCTAAGTTGATCTTATGTATACGTTGTGGTGTATGTATATATCATATAAGCTTTTATGCTGTTGCTTTTCCTCTTTCCCAAGGTCCTGTCCTTCAAGAGGGAAGCAGACATGTTGGCAGAGTGGTCAGAATTCATCCGGGAGGTGGATCCAGACTTGGTGACAGGATACAACATCCAGAACTTTGACTTGCCGTATCTTATCAAGAGGGCTGCAACACTGAAGGTAGGCAGATGGGACAATATGGAGAGGACTTGTGAAAGTGACTTGTTAAAGCCTTATTGGTGTAACAATAAGAAGTAAATTCTTTTAAGAACAAAACAAAACATGCCGCTGACTTGTCATGGAAAATACTGCCTTCAAAATGGTATGACAAAGGACTATGCCGTCATTGGCACATTTTAATTAAGGAGACAGATTTTTTGGGTGAATGATCTGTAACAAATACCGTAAGCTGCCAACCTTCCATGTATCTGCAGCTACCAGTAGTTAGCTTGCACAATCTTAATTAGTGTTGTCATTTATTACAGGTGAACAACTTCCCTTTCTTGGGTCGGATGAAAGGTGTGCGGTCAGTCATCAAGGACCAGAACATCCAGTCTAAACAGATGGGCAAACGGGAGAACAAGTACGTCAACATGGAGGGCCGAGTCACGTTCGACCTGCTGCAGGTAACACATCTCGTCTGCAAACCTGTCAATCAATTTTCACATTTGCATATACTTTGTTACTTTGGGGTACAGAGGTTTTACTTCAGGTTTGTGTGTCTAGTATGGACTGAGTTTGTAGTGGGTAGGGAAGATTGATAGGCATTATGAAAAGAGGGCAAAAGATCAAACACAGGAAATTGCGCAAACATGAGAGTACTAGGTTGACAGGAGATGGGTTGGGGAAGATTGACAGGCAGAATGACAGGTGAAGAGGTCAGACACAGGAAATAGAGTGAACTTGAAGGTCACAAAACCCCAAATACCGAAGTCTGAAATGTCTAATTTCTTGTTCTGATTGTTTCCTTTCCTCACACGTTCCAGGTTTTGTTGCGCGACTACAAGCTGCGCTCTTACACGCTGAACGCCGTGTCGTACCACTTCCTGCAGCAGCAGAAGGAAGACGTTCACCACTCCATCATCACAGACCTGCAGGTGGGCCTGACATACATACTTCTCCTGGTCATCTTTTCAACTTGTAGTGTGTAAATATTAAGGATTTATTGGAATGTATGACAAGAAATGTAGCAAACTCTATCAAAGCCACCAGTTCATATGGTATGACCACCTAAGGGACAGTAGCAGTTCCTACCATGTTTCCTTACCATAAGACATTCTTAACTTGATCGTTTGTGAATAAGCCTGGTATTTTTTGGTAGAATGGTTCAGAACAGACACGGCGCCGGCTGGCGGTGTACTGCCTGAAGGACGCCCTGCTGCCCCTGCGCCTGTTGGACAAACTCATGAGCGTCATCAACTACATGGAGATGGCTCGTGTTACCGGCGTACCTCTAACTTACCTCCTCACCCGCGGACAACAGATCAAGGTCATGTCACAGCTGCTCAGGAAGGTCAGTAAACAATTAGCAAACATGGGTTGTGACTCTGCAGCAGGATTGACAAGGTTGAGGTAGAATGACTGGAGGTCAGATGCTTCAGAATCTGGCCGGGAGGCAGCAGGAATTATGTCAAAATGGGGGAATTCAGGAAGCTGAGGATCGTATACTTCCTGGAATTGTGAAAGCTCAGTTTTCTTGTTGTTACAGCGACTGTGCTTACTGTTGTGACTTTGTGTGATGCATATAAAAATGGAAGAAGTCTTCTATGGAGTCACAGGCGTCTCCTAGCAGTCACCAGTACTGTGCTTCGCCTTGTGGTTTGATGTAAATGTTTGTTGTTGATCAGGCCAGGGAGCAGGACTTGGTGATTCCAGCCATGCAGTCCAGCGTGTCTGATGAGCAGTATGAAGGAGCCACTGTCATCGAGCCAGCCAAGGGGTGGGTCTGATTGGTCACCATGGCAGCCGCATCATACACAACTAATGTGAAATTGAACAGAACATCATCCAAGTTACATATAGGGTACCTCATAACCACCTCCTGTATAAAGTTTAAGACTGTTGTACAGGAATTGTGATTGTTGTGCAAATGGGTGCTGGTGAGACAGTGATAGTGTCTACTAACAATTCTGCCAGCTCACATATAGTTGCCATCCTAAAAAATGCATCTAAAAGATCTCCAGTACAGTATGTCCCAGGATAATGCACTTCTGCATATCGTAACTGATCACCTTGGCGTGATGCACTAAAGATAGTATTTTTCAAAGTTGTGGACATACATGTATGTTTCCTGGTGAATGAATGGTAAAATGGAGGTTACATGTTCAGCACTCCTCTTCCTCTGCAGGATGCATTTTGAATGCCAACGTTTCTGTGTGAGTTAAGTTCTGTGTGCTGGTTTACATGTACTTCTATGAATGATGAGTGTGTTCTCTACCCACAGGTACTATGACACTCCCATAGCAACGTTGGACTTCTCATCCCTGTACCCTTCCATCATGATGGCCCATAACCTGTGTTACACCACCCTCCTCAGCACCCCCAGCAGTAGGGCAAAGTAAGTTATCACTACCTGTCATTACTCCAGGGTATGGAAGTATTGTTTTGGGTGGCTGAATCATGGATTTTTGTCTCTGCATGTGCTTATTCAAGTTATTGCTTTGGTTGCATGGTGAGAGGGGGTTGATGTTGATAGATGATTGATAGGAATGTTAAGTCTGAAGGTGACTTGGTACACGCTGGGTAGAAGTTAGTGGGCAGAATATGGAGCAATTCAGGAAGTGGTTTAATGCTTGATTGAATTACATCACACAATCCCTTCCACAGTTCCATACATACATTCAGAAATACCCAAAACATTCAAAATGGGGTCTGTAAACTTGAAGGTCCCTAAAATCCCCAAAACTTCCTGGAGTACATAATACTTCAGAATTCTAAGACCTATATTCCATCAGAGATGTTTTGTCCTTACAGCCTGAGCCCCGACCAGTTCATCAAGACTCCCTCTGGGAACTTCTTTGTCAAGAAGACGCTGCGGAAGGGTCTGCTGCCGGAGATTCTGGAGAACCTGCTGTCTGCAAGGAAGAAGTGAGTCCTGCTTGTGGTCAAGGCTTACTGAAAATGCAGTTTATCTAATAGCACTGTGGCCATGTTCTTAGCTTTGTGTGACATATTTGCTCTTTCCATCCATTGTAAGGGCTCTGTTCCTAATGCGGTATCCTTTCTTGTCTACCGCATTCCCTCTTATGTCAGGCAGACAGAATACTTCAGGTGATTGAGCCTGTCCACCCCCGTGTAGACTCTAGTTGGTATCGCCCAAAGTTGAAGGGTCACCCTCCCTGCGCATGCGCACCAGTCTAATTTTTTTGAGCAACCTGTAAACACCTTCGTGTTTTGCGTTGGTATCATGGGGTCTAGGCGTGAAAAGCAACGCGATAGACATCGTTCGAGGGCGCCTTCGGGTCCTAGGGCGACCGAGGAGAGTTCCAAGCGCGAACGTGGCGGTTCCCGGCGGCGTTCCAGCGGCAGGGAGCGCGAG